ATGGATGAAGTCCATTTCTCGGATCTTTCAGACATGTACAAATGAATGACAATGTATGGAAGACCTAGTTAGTCAAACTCCAGTCCCCCAAAAAACCCACTTTGTTAGTGGAACTACATCCTCAGTAATCAGAATGCCAGACTGGTTTGTGTTGAAGAGACCTTAAAGCTCATGCAGTTCCAACCCGCTGCCACAGGCAGGGACACCTTCCACTAGAGCAGCTTGCTCCAAACCCCATCCAACCTGGCCTTGAACACTGCCAGGTTACTGTTAACATAAAGCCACAAGAAACATATAAGGGTTCACATCAGCCAGTACCATGGACCTTGCAAAACTGCCAGTTTCTAAAACCTGCAGTGAGACTTCAGTCCTCAGAAAGTGCAGAGATCAGATGCTAACTGTGGCCCCATCCATCTACTGGACTTTCTTTGAGCAATGTCTGTATTGTTTCCTGCGCTGTGGCTTAAAGCCCAGAATGCGAGTTCTCAGAGTCCCACAGCTGTGCAGCACAACATGGCTGTGCCCCTACCCATTTCTGTTTCTCAGTGAAAGCATAAGTGAACAGTATAGCTGGGTGGAGCTGGGTTATTGTGTATTGGTTTATTTTAATTAGGAAAGGCACTCGTGCTCTTGGAGAGAAACCAAGGCAGCTTTTTGTGCAAAAGGACAGGATCACTGGCTGAAGTGATTTCCACAACATTCACCTTAAGCATGAGAAGCATACAAGAGCACTGAAACACTAACAGGGACCTGAACTGCAGGGGCTAAGAATCAGAGAGTCCTCAAAAGAAAACCTTTCAAAGATGTGCAAAGCTTCTGTAGTGCTGGGGGAGCACACAGTGGAACTGAGATGGTCTGTGAAGCTCAGCAACTAATCTGACACAGCATATTATGTTAAGGAAGTAAAAGTAAATAAGCAATTAAAATGACCTTTGCAAAAGAACAGGAAGAAGCACATGGACTATTATCAGATCATTTAGGTTTCTGCCATTTCACATGTGATACAGAAGCCCTGAACAATCTTAACTTCAGATTTAAAGGACAAGGACAGTAAAGCCACACTTTGCAAATAAGTTCAGTATCCCATGAAGAATTAGGTAGAAAGAAAGTAGTTGAACAAACAGGCTCAGCTAAAAGACAAGAAGTGTGCTTGGGGAAGTGATGATTTATTCTTCTCTCCAACTCATTCAGAAATGGATTATTACTCTCAAACCAATCAGAAGGCAAAAAATGTAACACAAACTCGCACAGTCCCATTTGTAAAGTTAATTCCATTAAGACTAGTATAAGACTTCAACAACAGAAGGCTTTTCATGAGCATTTATATGTACTCCACTTTCTAAGACATCTCTCTGCTTCCTCAGTAGGGCTGCCCTTGAGGTGAAACACCTCTGCAAGTTTTACAATCCACAGCAAAGTCATTGAGTCCAAGTTCAATACTAGCTCCAATGGAAGGCACAGGCCAAGCAGCACCAGTCAGCAGGGCCTGGGCAGTCCCACTGAGCAGGGAGTTTAACTTACTTTTTTTTTTTAAATCTTCAGTTTTGAGCCTCCAGCTTTTAGCCAAAGCTCAACTCCTCAGAACCACAAACCTGCTCCATAAACAGAAACACTGAAGGTGTTCCTCCCACCTTTCAACAGCATTTTCTTTCTTTGCTGTTATGTCAAAGGAAAACAAAAGTTTTAGGAGCAAATCAGTTGTGCGGACAAAGGCTACAGCTACTGGATTCCACTGCACATATGAGAAACTGATTTCCAGGGTTATTGGTGACATGTGAACTGGAGCAACATTAACATTCTGCACACACTTGTCATGTCTTGCAAATTCCAAGGTCCCTTTGACAACAGAAAAAGGTGTATTTAAATAATTTGTAGCATTTCTTCATTTCCATAAGCCATCATTAGTCCATGGATAAATGATAAATATTCTTTAAAAGACTTTTACAGTGGTCCCAAGGGTAACTTCTGACCCCTGCAAACAGAATTGATCAGCATAAAACAAATAAAAATGCATCTTACTTCACAAATCAAAGGTTACAAATACTACCAAATACACATACCCGCCTTGGTCACTGGAAAAACTAACCGTTACAGTCAGATTTCATTAGCTCCTGTAGCAGCCCTAGATTTAGAGGGAATGTACCTCACTACCATGACCTGCATTCCTCATGCTGCTCCCATTAACATGAGGGGAAAGAACATTTTGAGATCAACCTTGAAAAGAAATAAGCATGTATCTGAGACCTTATCTGTGAATACAGGACTGTCCAAGTACCTACAAAACCTATAGGAAAAGCACTACAGAAAGATTATTTCCAAATTCATGTTGTAAAATCTATTTGCACGTATAAAAATGCAAGATCCCAAGGCTCCCATAAAATTCTTAAAAAAAATGGATCTGCTTTGTCTTCAAGCAACTAAACAGATTTCACTGATTCTACCAGGACCAGGAATTGTTGTAATACACTTGGACTGTCTGCTTTTAATACTACTTATGAAAATAACTTCTACCCCAAGTACTCCCAAGGAAAAAAAAAAACAAACCAAAAAACCTTGAGAATTTCTCCACAGCCCAAAAATGATGAATAACATGAACTTTGCTGTACACTTGTAAGCTTGTTTTGCATCAAACACCTTACAATGCAATATCTAAACAGGAAGGGACAGAAGGAAGCTGACTTAGAATTATACCTAATGTGCTCACAAGCTTTCCCAGTGCCCAACCTCAGAAAGCAGCTTTCAGTCAGAATACCTGAGTCTAACTAACTGATGCAAATAATATATAAAATGCACATGTAGTTTCACTTGTGTTTCACATTATCTCCTGCATTCCTGCAGATAAGTTAAAAAACTGCAATAACTCTACAAAATTATATACCACTTTGAGCTAAAGCAGCAGCAAATTCTCTTCCATCATTCATTTCAGCCAAAGTGCTCTATAAAACTAAGACACTGTCCAACAGATGCTTTGCTGCTGCTTCCTCCTTCTAACGTGATGCAGCATAGCTGGGGAGTTCGGAATGAAATCAGAGTATCAGTAGCAATACTGACAGCTTTGCTTCTACCTGGGACAATGTCACAGTTCTTGGTTTATCCCACTTAGCACCTGAAACACTGTGTTCTCATGAAGGAACAGGGCTGTAACTGAGTGTTTCAGTGAACCCAGAACAAATCAGACACCTGTAGGCTTATCCCTTCTCTCCAGGAACAGGCCTGTGCTGTAAGACAACTTGCTGCATTCCCAATATTTAATGAGCATTTAGTAAGACTGACATAAGTGAGTTCTGGTTCACCAGAGCCCTGTGATTTCATGGTCCATTATTCTCTGAACCACATCATTAATACCAGGAAAACCAGCTTAGTATGGCACAGCTTGTCCATCCCAGAACCGGGGATTACATTTAAGACTGACATGACTTCTTGAAAACAGAGATGTTATCCCAAAGGTTTTGTTTGATTGATTTAAGCCAAAAAAGGTGCAATATAGCATCTCTCCTCAAACCCTGAATAGTAAAGTGACTTGAAGATAAAAATGCCACCACTGGAAGGTCTACTGACACCCAGTCTATGCTGGCACCCAGATAGGGAGTGGATGAGCTTCTGTGTTAAATACATATTTGTCAAGGTTGATTAAGTCTATGTCATCTGAAAACAGCAGGAACATGTATTTGAGCGTTTCCCCAAGGAAGAAGCTCTCCATCTTATCTCGTGGCTCTGGATTACTGGGATTCTGGACGTTGTTAATGGAAGTATAACCACCTGTAGGAACCTGAGACAAAAAAAACACAATACAAAAAAACCCAAATCATAAATGTATATTTTGACAATCTAAATTATTTTCACTTCTTAAAATCCACATGCATTTGAAGAAGATAAGTGCTAAGAAACAGATGAGCATGTTTTTCATTTCATGCTTGTTTTTCATTTGCGTGTAAAACTAGTTATGGAAAAACATCTCTTCGCATTTCGAAAGAAACCACGAGGTTAAAATGAAACAAAATGTCTATTTATGCTTCATTTAAAGAGGTATCAAAAAGAACATCCCCTTGAAGCTTCTGTACAAATGTACAGAAAGTAACTAGAGCAATTTCTGCATCAGAGTTGGCCAAAGTACCATGCCTATTTCTCTTATGAACAGACCATGGATATTTAATGTCCACTGGCATCTAGGCCACACTTTTACAGCATATAAGACTGCTTCTATCTCCATGAGACTGTAACCAGAATGAATACAAAAATCCCTCTATTAAGGAATTAATGCCATTTTGTGGCAAACTTGGGGTGGAGGTTGGAGGGGGTGGGGAGATGGCATCTTCAACCAAAGAATTTTTTCAATCCAGCCAGGTTCTCAGCTTCTGAATTCTGAAAAAGATCACAGTAGTGATTCTAACAGCTTCCAAGAGGATGCAGAGACACTTTGGTAGTTTGCATGCAGCTTCTGCATTTTGCTTTTTAATCAATGTACTACAAGTTCTATCCCTGAATGTACTAAGTAGTGTATCTCAAACAGTAAGGCATTTCATGAACTGAATTTTTCTGAGTGTTGTTACTAATTTCCCTGCAGGTTTTTAATGACTATTTAAAGATAGTAGGTTGCCAAAGTTCTTTTTAGAGAGCAAGTGAGCAAACAGTGCTGACAGAACAAGGTCATTATAAGCTGACCTTACCCGTGTGTATTTATTGAAGTTCTGCAAGATTTCCCAGCCCCAGTCTTGGTATTTCTTATCACCGGTGAATCTGTACATATAAAAAAGGCTTTCCACAGTTTCTGGTCGCAGTAGGTTGTGCCTGTCTGCAGGCTGTAAGAGGAAAGAAAAAAGGCAAGAATAATTCAGACAGGGAATTTCCTCAAGGGGGGTTGAAATGGATGATGTCCAGAGGTCCATTCCAACCCTAACAATTCTGTGATTCTGTGACACATCCAGGAAGAAAAACAGTGATTCCCATCTCTATCTGCTCCAAAGAGTGTATTATGCATACCTCAGCTTCTAAATACACTACACGGGTAATTAAAGACAAAGGCTAGGGTACATCCAGAAAGCAAGGCAGCAAAAGAACAAGCTGCTCTACACCAGACCATATCCCCGATACGCAGGTATGAGTTTCAACCACAGAATAGAGATACAGAAGAACCACCAAAGTACAGTTCAGGCCAGCTATCTGTTCACCTTGATTTCCACATCTTTGTGGCCCTTTTGTGCATGAAGATTGAAGTGTACTATCTCTGGACTTAGGCCTGTCTCCACTTGAGCATACATCTGGTAACAGGTTTCTATAAGGGCTTCAGCCAACTTCATATGATCTGCAGTCAATCCATTGTGAGCTCCCAGTGCCAAAGTACCAGGCAAAAAGCAAACCAAGTGATCCTGCAAGACAAGACAATCCTTACTGAGGAAGAAAAAATACACAACGAACAGGTATTTGTCTTTTCTTTTACCCTCTTCATTCTCTTCTTCAAAACCCAACTTCAGGTACCAAGAACATGACGGTAACTTTTAAACACTCTGATGCAATGTAGCACAAGGCAGGCAGCACTATTCCACAGACATCATTAATTTGGAAAACGTACAAGACTGTGTTTTTATGTTTCTGGAAAAAAAGTCTCAGGTCAGGGTAAGGGGAAGAGAATGTCTTTTGGTTTACCAGAAGTACGTATCTCGTATCAACCCATGAAGGGGGGTAGGCAAAATCACCTAAAGGTTACTCAGTAGAGACACCTAGAGGGACATCATGAAGGATAGATTGACCATTTGCATTTAATTTTAAACTTAAAATAGAACAGAGATGGGAGTCAGAAAACACAGCTTTGGGGAAGGGCGAGAAGTCAGCTTAAGATTTTCCCCATTCTGAAATAATCACCTTCACATTACTGTAAGAGAGACAACACCTGTCAGAGATCATCAGTCAGATCCACTGATACAACTCGAAAACACTGGTAAGCTTTCGAGCATACTTCCATCTTGAAAGCTTGCCCCCTTCTTTCAACTTTGTTATTTGGGGTAATGAAAAGCTATTACGTCTCACACCTTTAGAGCACCAAAGGTGCAAGGGCACCACTTTTCTAAAGAGCCTGGAATGCTGCTGGCTCCCATTCCCACAACCAGCTCTCCTAGACTCTATTTTACAGCCAGCTGAATGTCACATATTCCAGGCACCTCTAACAAAACACCTTTGGCTCTTTCTGTACATAATGGAAGAGGGGTACCAGAGGCTGACTGTGTAAAGAGCATTCCT